ACCCTATGGAACAGTTTTGTAATGTAATCCAAGATTTAAGGCACTTAGTATATTAAAAAATTAAATTAATTTGTGTTTTAATTTTAATTTGCATTTTAAATACAAGATATATGTTAAATCTACTTATAATTAATATAAATAAATTATAATTACAAAAATCATATAACTTGAAAATAATTTAATTATGAAATAATTTATTAATTTTAATTTTTTTTATATTTATGATTATTAATTATAATAAAATTTAAATTAATTATCAATTAATTTAAGTATTTAAATATTTATTAATTATATTCTATTTTTAATTAATTTAAATTAAATTAATTTATTCATAAGCTATATTTCTCTTTTTCCTTTTTCTTGATGACTTTCTTTTTACTAATTCTCTTACTATTTTATTCCTATATTTTTGTGGATGTCTTGATTCAGCAGATTTGCTAGGTTTGTTTTTTCCCATTCTCCACAGTTTGTTGCTCTTTGAATTTGCCTCCTTTTCGTGACAGGTAGAGTTTTGAACGAGTAGTTAAATAACTTTTTCACCTCCTTCGACGACGTTCCTTCCTGTTGGATCCGAAATCACACTTTGAAGTTCGTCTATTCGACCGAAAGTAACAATGACGACAAGAGCTTGCTCGTTGCGAAGGTAGCCATCTTTCTATTGTTCGAGCGCTTTTTCGGCCAAATCCTGTAAATCAATTGAACTCTTAGAGACTTGGATTTAGTAAATATGGAATTTATGGCAAAAAGGGTGAAACAAAAGATTTAATTCGGTGTGAAATCTAACGGTTCCAGATTTAGCATAAATCTTGCTCAAATTATGCCAAATAGCCCCATAGAGTCCAAGCTATATTTAGTGTATTTACTACCTCTTGTTCATCATTGGGGTTTATGAAGTGTACAAGAATGTCAGTTAATGTTTGGGCCATGATCATCATTCTTGGTGCATAAGTAATATGAAAATCAATCAACTCCACAATCACCTTAACTTTGTCAGGATTTACTTTGATGCCCTCTGGTGTTAAAAGAAACCAAAGAAAGTTGCCTGAACCTGCACCAAAGTGCACTTTAGAGGATTAAGTCACATATTACATCTTTTGAGCATGGTGAATATCTTATTCAGGTCTAGCACAATGTTATTCAAGTGACTTTCTCTTCACCATCAAATCATCCATATAAACCTCAAAAATTACGCCTTTCTGCTCCTTGAAGACTTAATTCATAATATTTTGATAGGTTGCCCCTACATTCTTAAAGCCAAAAAAACATGACCTAGTTGTAGAGACATTCACATTTGATGAAAGTGGTTTTTTCATAACTGTGGAGATGTATCTTGATTTAGTGATAGCCCGAAATAGCGGCTTATCACTAGGAATCCAACAATCGAATCCACCAACAAGTCAATACTGGGAAATGGATACCTGCTCTTTGGGCATGCCAAGTTAAGGTTGGTGAAGTCGATGCACATCCTCCATTTGCAGTTTTCCTTCTACATCATCACGATATTAGAGATTCAATCAAGATATTATACCTCTCTAATAAAGTCAACATAGAGCGACTTTCCAACATCTTGTTTTTTAGGCTTGGCTAGTATAGCAATAGTCTTCCTCATTTTATGCTTGCATGGTTCGGGTTCTCCTTTCACATTCAATTTATGGAAGGTAGCTTCCATATTATGCCGGGCACTCCATTGTTATCCATGCAAAGACATCGAAATCATCCCTGAGAGTTTGGACGAGTTTGCCTCGATGTATGGGTCTAAAAGACACTTATTCACAAGGCTCTTTGGGTCGTCCTCCATGACTAAAACTTCCTCCACTGCCTCAGTAGTCTCTAACCCTAGTCCTCGCTCTATTTCAAGCTACATCACTTCTTTTAGGGAGGTCACTACCATCCTGAGAGCCTTCAAGTAGCACGTCTATGATTGTGTGATGTCAGCTCTCATCGTGATCTCCTGATCATCTAGTAGGAATTTGACTGCCATATGATACATCGAGATGACTATCTTGAATGTATTCATGAGAGGTCATTAAAAGATTGCATTATAGGTGGTCGATGTGTTAAATGATTATCAAGGCAACCATGGTGGTGTACTGATTGATGGTCACACCCGCCCCACATGATAAGCAGCACGATCAAGCCTTCACTGTCCCTATGCTCTCCAAAAAAACTATAGAGAGGACCTGAAGTAGGAGCAAGCTGTGAGAAAAGCAAATTCATCTTTTTAAATATATATATATATATATATATAGATATATAAATAATATTAACCAAACTCTCAGTGTCCATCAAGATATTGCCTACCTGATAATTGGATACAAGAGTGATGACGACAACAGTATCATTAAAGGGGTTTCCACTCACAGGCTTGTCCGCTATGGAAAGTGATCGTGGTGACATCATTTGTTGGTGCCCGTATGGCGATAGTTGACCTAACTTCACCTATTTGTGGCCTATTGGAGCCGGCTTCCACGGACGTCTCAATTAATTCCCCACCCAAGAAGACAGGTGCCACTCCAAATTTATGGATTAAGTGAGTAAGAATGGGATTGTTCTCATTATTCTCCATAGGGGTCTTTCCTAGGAAATGACAAAGGTTGTTGATTACGAACTCCTTCAATTTTTTTTGTCTTGATAAGATCTTCAACTAGCCCACGAAGGTGCCTGCACTCCTTGGTGTTGTGACCAAGATCTTTACGTAAGGCGTAGTATCTAGAGGTGTCTCTTATGTGGGCATTCAACTTCATCGATGTTGAGTTCTTAAAGAATTTTTAATTTTTAATTTTGAATAATAGGCTCCACAAGCTCGGCCATGGAAACACGTAAGGGAGTCACCGTGGGATAGTGGTGAGCAATGAGCATACCTTCTTCATGGTGTGGGCATGTTGCCTGCAATGCCTCCTCAACTCACAGTACAGATGGACATACTATTCTGAGCGACCTCGCTTATAGCGGCATTCTCTGCAAACCGGGGTTATGCCAATCACGCAGGATGTGAGGTTTATATATGGCTTTAAATTCCTTTGATCACTTCTCTCACACTCTGAACAAGGGATCGATCATGCTTGATGGCAAGTTCTTTGGAGAAAGTGGTCAAAGACTCCACCACTTGGTTGTATTCCTCAGCGTTGACATGGCTACTGACGAGTTCGAGAAATTCAACTAATGTCTTGGGTTGCTGCAATCCTAGTGCATAACAGAATGGGCTTTACCTCAATCCTTGAGATGCTGCAGCCTATGCGACAATTGGTTTTAAGACTTTCAGCTCAAGTATATCCTCTTGAAACCAAGCAAAAAAGCTGCAAAGCGACTCATCTTGCTCTTGTGCTTCTTGAGAAGAGCTTGCACGTTCTTTAGTAGCCTTTGGCTGCTCGCAAACAGGGTAATAAACATCCTCTTGAATGCTTCATAAGAGGTGATTTTCCCCTCACGGGCAGGCAAGTGAACCACCAAAGGGCAAAATCCTTGAAGTTGGTTAAAAAAGGAGATTGTCAAATGGATCAATCCTCCCTCTGTAGGACTCAAGGTCGGGGCAACTTGAACTTGCGAGATGACCTCAACTTCATGATCTCCGTTGAAAATACATTAGTCAGTTATGGCCCTACTCTTCTTACACGTCGGGGAGGAGACTTATATTCTTCATCACTAGTGAGGGTGTAAATGGGTTTTGGATTGGGTGTAGAGGTAAGCGCATTAGTTTCTAGCCTTCTTGAATGGATAAATTAGTCAATAGATCATTTTTGGGTTGCTCTCATTGAAAGCATTTCCCAATAATTCTCCAAATGCATCTTGAATCACTTGCAATTGTCTTTATTCCATCTCTGTGAGGTCAAGACAAGTGGTGAAGTTTGGGTTGTCCATGTTCATGGAAGGTTATAGATTTTCGTGTTCTTCAAGACATGTTCGTCTTCGTGTCATTGTCATCAATTCACACTTACCATATTGTTTAGGATTTTGGATACAAATTTGTCTATAGATGATACCTGAATTTACTAGCAAGCAATCTTCTAGACAAGAACTAAAGAATCAAGAGTTCAGTTTAATATGGAGGAGAGAGAAATGAGATAGCTCAAATATCCAAAAGTGTTTAAAAATGTCAAGCATCAGACGTGTCCAAAATATCCAAAATGTGTCTCTCACTATTATTTATAAAGGCTTGAAAGGGCTATAGGAAAGGTTACAAACAATAAAAGGTAAAAAATTACAACATTTCATGTGATCCAATTAAATTATACAAGACACGTGTAGTAGGCTAGTGGGTGTCCACATAGCTCTGAACCTCTAACAAAACCCTCGATTCTAGAGTGAGTCCCTTGGGCGAGGAATTTAAAACCATCAAGGTTATTCATCAGTAAAATCAATATCCAAACTTCAACAAAATATTTTTGTAACAAATATAAATGATAAAGGTGCTCATCCTGACAGTATAAAGATGGGTGCTCACATTTGTGTGCCTCGGTCATTTTGTAAGAATTAACAACTATAACAACTACTTCTAAAGCTATTACTAGCTTGATATTTCAAATAAACTTCTAATCCTAGCCAATAAGATGAAAAAGACATCATGCCAGGTCTGACCTTTCAGCATTCTTGTCAACCTATCATCCTCATGGGACTTTCCATCTTCCTTTGCATCTCTAAAATGCTTCTAAATTTTAAGATCCACGTTTCAATACTCGGGAAGATTAAAGGGCATCATCAGCAGATGTTGAATAAAAATATGTGCTAAAAAATATGTGCTAGTAACTCTGTAATGTGGCACAAAAAACAAATATCCATTTCTCTAGTTACTAAATAAAAGATGGATGCATAAATAATTGTGAGAAACAATATAATATAATGCTTGTTACTAATTTCAGCTTACTGAAGCTAGAAATTAGATCCCTTAGAAGTTCTGATAAGGAAGTTAAAATCATATATGTTACTCAACAGCCGAATAAATATTGACATGTGCGTGAAATATATTTTGTGACAAATAACTAATTTATAAACAAGGAGCTCACCCTGACAGTAAAAAGTTGGGTGTTCGCATTCTTGTGGCCAAGTCGTTTTTTTACGCATTTTACTACATCTTTTGCTTGCCTGGTCACCAGAAAACAAAAAAAAAATCACTTATATACAGAGTAGTAACATATGGGCTTACACATAAAATCACAACCAGCACAGAAGAACAATTAAGCAAGTTTATTATACAATATAAATGACTCATTTTTGCAAATTAAAGAGAAGCCAACCACCAAGAAGGGCTGCTTCCAGAACAACAGATCGAAAAATACAAATAATGAAAGAATGGAATCCATCAAGTTAAAAAAAAGGTCGTGCAGAAAACAGAAATATGATTTTTAAAAGCTCAAGGCTAAAGAGCATACCCATGATCTTTCGCAACTAGTTCACATATTTCAATGCTCTTAGTCCAATCCATATCCATTAGCTTCTCAGAAGTTGCAGATTTCACCATTTCAGCAGCCATGAGTCTATTATTGGTATCAAAACTTGATTAGAACAGTAGATCCCATTTACGTGCAAGCTTCAAATGAATAGAACTTCAAATCATCTTTAAGCACTATTTAATAACTAAAAGCAGTTAAGTTAAGCATCCCAATTCCTAAATATAGTTATGCATCCAAGAGCACCCGTTCAAAGGTACAGAAGTTAATAGCATCTTAAATGAAGCAATGACCGCAAACTAGGCAAAAATTTTACTTGAATTGTTTTTCCTTCAAATTTCCGTATTGGAAATAAACTCCAGCCACTTGACACCCTGTAAATCAAAAAAACCATATTGAAGCAAATAGAACGAAATAGTATGCTCGAAATATAGTCGATCATATTACGCTATAGAAAAGTCGAGGAAAAAAAAAGGAGATAACAAAAACGGAGACCGCTTAAAGAAAAGCAAAACAAGGTGAACACCTAAGACCAACAACTATGCCTTCGAAAACGACTACCCAGTAGCGACCGCAGATGGACAAGCGCACTACGCGCCCGCACTGTAGAGGGCTGATGCAGTTCGCTTAGGAAGTTTCAAATACTCAACTGCTTCTAGCATAAATTAATACAAATCATAGCTCAGCCACCACATAGATCGTAAAAGAAACCAAGAACATACATCGACTAAAAAAACCAGAAAGTTTACGAACTCTACCAGCGTACTCAAGGTATCTTCGCTCTCCAAACGAAGCCTAGGCGCGTGGCAATCCAAATGGTTTCCACATTCCCACCAACTGCTTAGGGTTTGCTTTCTTTCCAAGCTTGAGATCTTCCCCAAAAACACGGGAGCATTCAGGGCTAGGGCTCCTCTTTCTTCCTCAAAATTGAAACTTTTAAGCCGTGCTTCCTCTGAGGAAAACAAGAATGGGACACCGCGTTAGAGAGCAGTGGGCGCTTTGTGGTGCTGAACGTTGGGGAGGTTGCGGTGGCAAACAGGGAGAGAGGTAGGGGAGACAAAAAAAACAAAGTGACAGCGCCAATACAGAGTGTTTCCGGATGTTTCACGGTTAGGAACGACAATGATGGGTCCTGCATGGGGGTAATTTGGATCAACGTAACAATCTACGTTGACGCTGCCTTCTGATGTCCATAGAGGTTGCTTCTCCGTGGCCTTCCATGTGACCACGTGCGCAGCGGTCGGATGAGTGTGGCTAAGCTGATTGGAGATACCATGGATAAGATTGGGCTTCATGTAAACATCTTTTTTCTTCTATTGAGAATCTTAAGAAGAAGCAAAAAATGATCATCTTAATTTTAATTTAGTTTTTATTAATTTTAATTCTCTTATTAAAAATCATCTTTTTCTTTGATCTTCTTAGGTTTCTCAGCAGGCTAAACAACAATAGATTTCTTGTGGAGGAGATGATTTAGGATTTTTTTCATTCTAAAATTATATGCAAGCAGAATTACAATAAGATTCATTATATTTCTTATTCTCAAGAGATTGTTATGGATGTTATTGATATTGCTAATACTTTTGCGAGTCATTATAAAACTATATTTAATTCTCCTATTCCGATTAACTCTACTTCTTTCAATATTCTTGTTGTTAATATTATTCTGGACTGTTTGAAAGCTGTTTTGATTCTCCTGGTTTCGATAGAAGAAATTAAAAAGGTTGTTTTAAATAGCCCTAAAATTTCTGCCCTGGGACCTGATGGTTATACTTTTGAATTTTTTAAGACTACTTGGGAGATTGTTGGTCCTACCTTGTGTAAAGTTGTTCTTTATTATTTCAATTCTTGGTTTATGTCGAGAGCTGTTACAACTTTTGATATCACTTATTCGTAAAAAGAATATTTCTACTAATGTCTGAGATTTTAGGTCTATCTCTTTATGCAATATATTTTTATAAAATTGTGGCTAAAATTCTGACTAATATGTTGGAGAGTGTTATGACTTTTATTATTCATAAAAGCCAATTTGATTTTATTAAGAATAGGATGTCAATGGATAATATCATTCTTGTTGTTAAACTTCTTAGATATTTTAATCAATCTTCTATGAATAAGCTTTTTTGTGCTAAAATTGATATTTATAAGGCTTTTGATACGGTTTCTAGATATTTTTTAGTATATAGGATGATTCAAAAAGGTTCCCTCATATTTTCATCTCTTTGATTAAAGGGTGCATAGAGGATATTTATTTTTATATTATTCTCAATGCTTCTATGCATGGGTTTTTTTAATTCGTCTTCGGGTATTCGGCAATGTTGCCCGCTTTCTCCTTATCTCTTTTGTATAGTTATGGATGTTCTATCATATATTTTGGATGATTATTCACATAATAATGGCTTTGAGGGGATTAAGGTTGGTGATAATCTTATTTCTCATCTTATCTATGCGAATGATATTCTCATTTTTAGGAAAGCTTCATCGGAGAATGTTAGAAAGCTTAATGATATCTTGGCTTATTTTTCGGCTGCCTCTGATTTATTTATTAATGCTGATAAAAGCTCTCTTATTATTTCTAAAGATTGTCATTTAGAAGCTACTATTAGTTACATTCTTGGCATTGGAATCACTCAATATCCTTTAAAATACTTGGGTTTACCCTTCTCTGGTAAGAAACTCAAAGCTTCTAATTTTTCAGCCTTTATTTAGTAGGATTATTATTATGTTGGCTAGTTGGAAAGATAAATTACTTTCATTTGCTGGAAGGATACAATTCTTGAACTTTCTATTTCTAATGTTATTTCTTATTGAATTAGTGGGATTGCTATGCCTAAATTTTGTTTTAAGTTTATTAGAAAATTATGCTATATTTTCCTTTTTCATAATGATCCTATTAGTAGGAAGATCATATAATTGCTTTGAGTAATGGTTGTAAGCCTAGAGAAGTTGGGGGGCTAAGTATTTTGGAACCTGAAGCTCTCAGTTTTGAACATATTTGTTCTCTTATTTAAAGAATCATTAATGATAGTGGTCCTTTGGCTGTTTTGGCAAAGTATAAGTATTTCTCTTTTTGGAAGCCATGGTAGCAATCAGTTTCCATGTTTTGGAAGAATATCTTTTCGGTTGTAAGAGATATTAAAAGCGAGTTTCAATTTAATATTTTCTCTGATAGTTCCATCTCTTTAAGTTGGGATCCTTGGTGCTTGGGAGGTTTGTTCATGAGATTGCTATTTTGAATAATGTTAATTTGGTTTCAGATTCTCTTAATAGAAAGTTAGGGGGCTGGATTTCTCATAATTACTGGAATTTACCTCCTTTGTCTCCGACTATTAGTTCTATTTTATCTCAAGTTGTTATTACGGATCCGCAAGCTTCGAGTTAACTTGGTCAGGTCACCTAAATTGGTCAAACCTCCTACAAAACTTCTTAAATGCAAACTTCATATTCATTGAGCCAAACCCATCACACCCCATGCAATTGACCTTTAAAGACCCTCCATGATCCATCCTATCTAGCTTGATACATTTTGACTAGTCAATAAGATCGAAATTTTAAAAATTTATGAAAATGTCAAAATTGATCAAACTTGGCCAAATTTATAAAAATCCCTCCACTCTACCTCATATAACCTATTCAAAATGATTATAGAAACTCCCTTAATACTTTTTAATATATGCTTAAGCTTTGATTTAGCCTAAATGATCCCATGCGCATAAGAAGAAAGAAAGGCCTTTCCAATTCACCCACTCCCTCTCTTAGCAAACTCCTGCCTCCCTGACTACATGCGACTAAGACATGTGGCAAACATCTAAGGGTCACCTTTGAGTGATCCTAGCCATTGTTAACAACTCTAGAGTTATAATTGAATAAAAGACTTAAAAACACTCATTCTAGTAAAACTCCACACCCACAACCTACCAACCCTTGAGATTTTTTTGTTTGAGCTCCACGCAACATTCTATATAATTCCCAAGTAACATCCCCTTCATTTGCACATCATTCGTGGGCAATTTCTAGCAATCCAAGGGCTACTTCTGTTCAAATCATCCAAATTCTATACATGTTGCCTCTCTAACCTAGACCCCTTCAATAAAGTTGCTCTAGGACTTCAAGGAACAAAAAAGAGCCATTAAACAACCCTTGAGATCAACTGTATCCAGGTAAAATCCAAACCCTAGCTTAGAATCTAAGTATTTAAATAACTTTTTATAAAAAGATTTTTTAACTATAAAAGCATATCCCGAGTCTTCATTTAATCATGGGAGAGCTCTGTTTAAAATCTCATCTCATTTGGTTTATTATATAAGATGTTTGAGAACTTCTTCCAAATACCCAAAATTTGCCTATTGAATGAGTCCTGCTCGATCCAGATTGTTTATCTCATGTGAACTGCTCAAATTGCATCAGATGGATTGCACGAACTATTTGTCTCATGCAAACTACTCAACTTGCATCGAACGAATCATCCAATCGGTCAATATTCATGCAAAATTTGCTTTGATCTTCATCCGATTGAATCAAGGTTGTTCGTTCCAAACAGCGTAAATCTGATAGCCCCTAATGAATCCAATGTGGATAAGTGGTTGGTGCGCGTACAACACTTCTCATACCGCCGCCTCAATGATTGCGCGCTAGCTTCATTGTATTAAATATATTTATTAAATAAACTTAAATAATAATTTTTTTAAAAAAATTCACTATAAATCCATTTTTGATCTATTTTTTGCAATTAAGTACTCTATGGAATCGGGGAGCAGAGCTGTTTAATTTAAAATTAAAAACTAAAATGGTTTGTTTAGTAATTAGAGAATACTTTTAATTAGAATTTTCATTATTTTTAATTAATTACTCTTTAGTTATTGGTTGTTTTGGGCCTAAATTTAGCTGAGTTAAATTATGGCATGTTCCTAACATACCATAGTTTCTTTTGTCTATTTGAAGTCCCCACTTATCTATCCTAAATTTTTAAATATATAGGTCAGATTTTGACCTAAATGTTTGAAAATTCATCGTGATCATTCCATAAAGAATTAGACCACCAAATTTGTGTGATTTATTTATTTTATAGTATGGGTTAGATACAATTAATTGCAAACCCATTAGAATAGTAGAGACACCTAGGGAATTAAACTTAGGGTTTGATCTAGATAGCTTAGAAAATTTTTATAAAATTTCTTTCACATCCAGTAGTGTTGAAACTTAAACCTAGCACACATAGTGACATGATAAACCATATGGTTTAATTTCATATTAATTGGAAGTCATTAATGCACTTAATTAACTAACCCTAAAATTAGCCCCTATATTTTGGCACTGATTTTTCTTAAATTCATAATAAATAAAAAAAATAAAAATATAATTAAATTTCAATTAACTCTAAATCAATCGGGAGGATTCAAACCTCTCAGCAGTTTTCCTTGACTAAGGCCATTTGCCTTCTATGGACGTTCTAGTCCAAGCTATAAGAATTACACATCTATAGAGCCCATGATCATGACTATGCTGATTATGTTTGTCCCTAACATAAATTAACAGACATCTATAAGACTTGATGCTTACCCTGAAGTACTATCGTTTATAGACTTGCCCCAAATACTCACTCTTGAAGAGTAAACCAAGGCCCTTGCCCCACAAATTTTACCAAGGTACTCGATCAGGCTTCCCTAAGCCACTTTGAAAGTAGAGGGCCACATATGCATCTTTAAGCTTAGCTCGCATGTTTGTGTTAGTTTATACATGTCATATCACATATTATTTCAATTTTTTTTTCTGCTATGTCTTCTCTTGTAGCCCTCTAAACCTAATACATTTGAGGATAAGATGCATGTTTAGAACATCACAATATTTTTTATGTCGCGAAAGCTTTGATAAAATAAATTATGACCTTAATAAGTTTCAACTATTGTTGATCCCCTTTATGGCTTCTCTAGTGAGCATAATGAACTATACCATTGGATCACACTATTGATTACCTAGCGAAAGGTTAACTCAAGTATATTACCAATGCAGCCAACGCTGACTCCTATATTAATGATTCAACAATTGCTCATAATGTCATATTTGTTTGCTCTCTAATGAACACTTTCAAAATCATTTTTTTTTTACTTTCCATTTTCCAATGAAGTTTAAGATCTCTTAATATGCATGTAGAGTAGGGTTAAGAAAGTTTTTTAGCTTTCTTTTAACTTGATAAGTAATAAAAAAATTAATCATAAAATATTAAAATTTTAAGTATTAGATATATAAGTATCATAATATAAAGTGATATGTATGTAAATATCCTATAAAATTTCATTTGAGGTTATTTTTTTTTATTACTTTCTAATATAATTTTTAAAAATATTTGATTAAGAAAATTTTTGCATTATACCATGTAAATCACAAATCAACATCTGCCATTCAGCTCTGATTTGACCTTTCTTCCCACGGGGAAATTATTCTGTGCGGAGTTCGTGCATAGAGAATCTTTCGGATTACTGTGTATCATATGCGTAAGCTTTGTCTATGCTCTGCATATTTACTGCGTATATATTGTGTATTTGTAAATACACTAAGCAGTTAATAATTAATTGTGAGGATTTGCTGTGTATCTATAAATATGCAGTGTAAGCAGAATGCAAACAGTGCATACATATAGCGTAAACAGAATGTACGCAGTGCATCCAATAATCTAAAAGATCCTATACGTTTAAACTCCGCACATATTAATTCCTTCCCATGACTCTTTTTCATGAGATAAATTATTTTATGCCGAACTCAAAGGCAGAGTTAAATTCGGAGCATAAATATAACCGATTTATATGATTATGTACTATATACTTCAATTTTTTACAAAATGCGTTGTACATTAAAAAAAAAAATCTTTGTTCAAAAAAAAAAAAAAAAAAACACTTAAATGTCCGGAGACAGATTAGCGTCCGACTCCGCACTGAATTATTTCTCCTACCGTCGTGGGGCACCGTGACCGTGGTAGCCGTCAAGATGAAGCGAAAGAAATGGACGGAGGCAGAGGAGGAAACCCTAATAAGCGCCTACTCGGAGCTTGTCTCCTCCTGCGGTGGAATTTTGCAGCTGCGGACACGGGAGAAGAAATTCCAGCCCATAGCCGACCGCGTCAACTCACTTCACCATCTACGCGACGCCACCGCTTTCCCCTTCCGCTGGTCATGGCGGGACGTGTCTATCAAGATACAGAACATGCGCCATCAGTACATCGGCGTCAAGCTGAAGCTCCCTTCTCCCTCCTCCGCTGCCGAAGGTCCTGATTGGGATCACGCCCTTCACCTCTGGCCCAACTTCCTCCGCTACAAGGCCGTCTTCGGCGACATAGACCCCCATCCCTCACCTTTCTCATCCTCTCCTGCATCAGCTTACGCCTCAGCTGCCTCCGACGATGGTAGAGTTGAAAACTTAGGTAAGATGGTGGCGGAACTTGGGGAGGTGCTTGTGGGGAGAGAGGAAAGTCGGAGAGAGAGGGATGGCTGCGACAGGGAGGGACGGTATCAGCGTCGGAGGGAAATAGAGGCATTGACAGCGATGGTTCCATCTGAAGAAGAGGAGCGTAGGCAGCTTTGGAGACGGAGGGAGGAGAGGAGAGAAGAGGAGGAGATGGAGTGGAGGGAGAAGATGCTGGAGATGCAGATGGAGCACGAAAAGCAGGTGATGCAGATGCATGCGGAAGCATGCCAGGTTCAGATGCAGATGCTCGGCATCGTTGTCCGCCTGGTCTGCCAGTTTCTTAGCCCCACTGCAAGCTCTGGTGCTGGAGGGGGTGATGCCGGGATTAATGGTTTACAGCACCATGTGATGCACAGCTTGCAGCAGCAGCAGCCGCCGCAATCACCAGGAAGCTTAGTAGGTGATAATGTAAAGAATGATGTACATTCTGGAGAAGACTATTTGTAGTTTCTCCTTCTTGTACGTGTCCTTTCCCCTTTTCAATCCAAAAATTTCCATCTAAATTTCCTAATGTAAAAATACATTTGGACTGGAAAACATTTATTCAATACTATAAGGTATTGTGTAATATTTAAAAATTATATATATAAAAAGTACAAGACAATTTTTTTTATTTTAAGACAACAGAAATTCACTGTTTTTTAAAGATAAAATTTGTGTCTTGTAAATTTTACAAAATGTTTGTTGATTTGAATAACTGGGTTGCACTTTAGATACATTTTTATATGACAACATGATAATGCAATTCTTTTTCCTTTTCCAATGTTCTTAATCATTATTTTAGATATTGTTGGGAAGACAAATTTTTGTTTTATCTTACTACAGCTGTTAATTTTTACGTTCTTTTCTTATATGTTTCTTGCTATTCTCAATTTGTCAACTGGTAGCTTTCCCATTAAGAAAACTTTGGTATTGCTCTATCATGGATGGGGTGAAGTTTGGTTCTCATTTCTCTTTCTCCTTTTGAGATTCCTCGTCCTCCCTCATTTTATAAAGTAGATTGTGAAGATTTGAATTACATTGAGTTGGGACATGATTTTTAGTTTGCGTGATGCAATACTAGACATATATTGAGGTTATTCTTGATTATTATACAATTTTGATTATTTCTAGCAAAATTTTCAATCTTGTTTTTTAGTTTTTTTTTTTTAATTTTAGGATTATTTTTATTTTAAATTAAATTATTTGATTTTTAAGAGTTATCAAGAAGTTTGATGATTTTATTTTCACTACCTATTGTAAATCTTGCAAATGATATCCATGGTTGAATTGCATTTTAATTAATATTCCTTCTTATTCAAAAAATTTGCGCCACGCCCAGGCCTCTCTCCACTCTCTTTTCTTGTTTGTGAAGGTGGAGAGTTTTGACGAGTTTAGGTTACGGGTGAATTTTCAGAATGTAGATTGGGTTTTGAATTAAACATTACCCTGAGATTTCACCCTCATTTTGTGAGGACTTTATATTTTGAGTTTTGGTTTCCTATAGGTACCAGCCCCTATAGTTAATTACCCCTCTCGATAAAGAGAGTGAACTTTCGATTAAGGCTAGTCATAAGATAGGCACTGAGTATCCATATATTAGCAACAACTTTATGGTTTGACTTTGATATTAAAATCCATTTACTTAAAACTTGTGATGGAGGAATGAAGACGAGCCCGATCAAGATCCCATGATTTTGTCGGCTCGGGCCTTCATGGTCCCCTGGTCTACTTAGTCAGAAAAGTTGGTCGACCCAACCTGACATAAGCCACCTTATCGGAAACCATTGGTTGCTTCGTCCAAAAATACCTTGTAGACCTGGGGTGGTGTTTGTTTAGGGGGATAGCTTTGAATCCACCTTAGCTAATAGAGGGCTTTATGCTTATCGAATATACCCTATGATTTATTACTTAAGAGTTTGGCATCGTTAAGGAACATATGGGCTTTGGCCATGATTGTAATATAATGGTGTCATTTTGCGGCAAAATCACATGATTAGAGGGCACGTGCCACGTCCATGCTGGCAAGAGATAATTTGAGAATCAATCTTAGTGATACACCCGACATAACATTCGCTCTATGTGAGCTTAAGTTAATTTCAAATTTATCATTCTCGACAAATGATTGCGGGAGGTGGATGAGTTTTAAGTTTTTAGGTGATAGATTTTATTTTAAGAATTCATTATTTTGTTAATTTTAAGATTTGACTCATCCGATTGAGATTTCTTGTCAACATGACCATCATCTGGGTAATGTGATTGTCATTTGAAAAATATTTGTATTATGTAGCAGTTTAGTAGGAATCTTATGATTCAAGTTAGGTCGACTCCAATCCTTCCAAGAAGGAGGATTAAACTTGAATATTTGACCTGCGTAGCATTCTCGGACCGTTGGATGTAGGAATCATACGTGACAATCGGAGCACATGCGGGTTATGTGTCAGTGTATTTGCATTTCAATTACACTTATATAATATGTTTTATATTCATATTGCATTCACTCTATGCATTTTTCACATTTGCTCATTACTCTTGTATAAGTAGCATTGTTCTTGCATAATATTCATGTCAAGATGCTCATTAGTGACAACTATATCGTAGGAGATAAACTGCTATGCATATTGAATGTAGTCAGATCAAGGTCAATGCCCATATACTAAAACTCAACATACTACTTTTCCATTTCACTTATTCTTTGAACATATCCATACATAGATATCATATAATTAAATGTGAATGTATATTTTGAATAATTAGTCCTTTGGCTCATAGAAGTAAATCTAATACAAAGAAGAGTATATATATGATTAAGCCTTCTCACACTACTAGCCTCATTGTTGCCTTCCCTTGTGAACTAAGTCTATGAAAATCTCTTCACTTTTCATATCAAGATTGTCTACAAATGAGCTTTCATTGCAAGTTCCTCTTCTCGTTCACATTATATTCATTGTTTGTCTTCACCGAACAATATATGGACCAAATCGACCTTTTCCTTAACACAGCTTGAGTTCCTTTGACACTTACTTTCAATAGGTGAATTTGGTAATCCAACATAGAGTTGCTTTAAGAAGAGGATTGAAGCAATCATGGCAACAATTTCTGAAAGAAGAACGACATAAGTAATTTCAGGGTCAACAATTTCTTTTTTCTGACATTAAGTGGATGTTAAAAGTCTCATGAAGAATGAAACTACTTATTCTTATGGATGTAAAATCTTTGATGTAGAGTTGTATAACCTGAAGGCCTAGTGTTATCATATAGCCAATTCAGCCCCTTTTAAGTATCAATTCCATGATATCTTGTTTTGCATCTTCTTTTTCTTTTTCTTGAAGCTATCTTTAACTTTGCTACTAAAAAGTAGTGACCATCAAACAAGAAATTTTGAGGATTTTAAATCTAACCTAAGCAAATGAAAATATGATGATTTGGAGCGATATTGTACCTTCATTGTTTAATGGGTTAAAATTTTCCTCTTTTCTTAAATTTTGATTTTCATTTTCTTTAAGTGGATTTTAATTGTCTTTGGTTCTGGTTGGTGTGGTCATTTTTATTTTTTCAAAATTTTGGCAGCCTTCCGGCGTCCCCTCCCCGCGAAGGGAGGTTGGGGAGGGCACGTACCCACCCTTTCCAATATGCCCAGCCGGATAGGATTCAACGACCGAGAACGTTGTTTGGCACCGAAATAGGCATTCGACGATCCTTGTTGCGATACATGTTTGAAAAACCCTTCACCTTTTTTTTTTTAATTTCATTATATATATAAATAGATAGAGGGAGAGAGTCGATCGGGCATGGGTCAGAGGCGGAGGAGTTCGGCCGTCTAGGGCATGATGGCGGGAGTCGGGCCGGCGGGAGCAGGCGGCTAGAGGTCGGGCTTGGAGAAGGAAGGTCGTGTTTATGCATGTGAATGGAGGTTGAGCTGCTTTGGCTAGGGCTGTGATGGATTTGACGGTCCAGGGTCGGTAGTTGGAGGAGTTTGGCTGACGAAGGGTTCTATCCGGAGTAGGAGGTTGGTTCGGAGTCACGCGCGGCAACGGCTCGAGCAAGATGAAGGTTTGGAGGTTGGCGGGCTTCAGCTCTTGCGTGCGGGAGTCGCGGCTAGGAGTGTGGTCGACGTCGGAAGAGGAAGTCGTATGTGCTTGTAAGTTTCGAATAGCCTCCATCTTTTGTTTTGGTGTGCGTTCTTTCCTTTTTTTTTCCCTCCGTTGAGAACCCGAGCGTGTGAATGGGGGGTTGCCTTTGGTTTTGAGATAGGCCAGTGGGAGTTGTGTTGTGGGGTGAACATGGGTTAGTGGGTTGTTGAAGCTAGGTGGTTGGAGGCTACAGTCAACACTCTTTCATATCTTCTCCCTATCTCCTATAATTTCTCTCACCTATCTTGCAAATCATTCACTCTTTTTCATGGTTTCTGATAGACCGGTCCCTCTTGGACCGGCCAGGAGTTATGGGAGTAGAAACCAGGTGTCCATCTGGAGGAGTTCCACACACCTTGGGGTGGGACCTAGGGGAATTCAAATTGGAAGGGGCCGGCTAGGAGGAAAAAGGAAGAGGGGGGAGGGGGAGGGGTTGGGGGACTGTTTTGGCATTTGAATATGTTTTGTATGCTTTAAGTAGTTTCTTTATGCTAGGGTTCAGTGGGGATATGTTTTTTGCTGAATTCAGGTTGTTTTTAGGTTGAGTGGGCGCTAGCTGGTGGCTAGGAATTTGAGAGAGCCGGATTTGAAGATCCAATTGTATCTTTTCTTTATTTCATAGCTACTTCAATAAAAAAGGGGTTGTTTGCATTATTCTCTGTTTTCTCTTATTATTTTCTTGGCTGCTTTGTTGAAATTCAATTTTAGGCAACGGTTAAGCGTTTCCCACAAGCACTTCCTATAAGTTTCCTCTCTCTCTCTGTTCCTCTGGCTGTGAGGAATCAAGGTTCATGAAGTTATTTTGTTTGTAAACCTAGTAGTGAGTCCCACCATCATAGTATTCTCTTTCCTCCAGTATTCTTTCTTTATAATCCTCTCTCTTAACATATATATGGCCTTCTTTTAATGAAGGGATTACATCTAAGGTGAATTCAAATAATTTCAAAGCCAAATCAAGAGAAGGAAGAGAAAATCGAGCAAGGTGATCATTAACATGGGTCTGTCATTAAAATGGCATTAGATTAATCTTTTCATGTTATTTGGTAGTAGAGGCAACTTTCTAATTGTTATTGTATCCAAACTCTAATTACCCCTTATCTTTCCATTTACTTTGCCTATCCTGCACGATCACTAACTTTCAAAAAAAAGAAGCTAAACTTAGCATTAAGCCTTAATAATTCATTAATTTCTTACCATTAACCTGATATTTTTCATGGAAAAAAAACCTAGGCAAGTGCATTGATTTTGCGCATGAGATTGTTCACAAATACATAAACAAGTCTATGGATCTACAAATTTCAATAACTCAATTTGGAATCAACATCATGAATTTATTGAGTAACTTTAAATGATTGTGACCCAAAAGTCAACCAATTTTGATGGGGATCTTTGAGCATATGGATTAAGGTTGTAATCATTGGATTGATTATCTTATGCCCTTAGATTACAATCTATATGCCTCTTCTTCAACTTTTAGCTGCTAACCCCTCTTGGGTTTTT